GTGTTGAGAGCGCCTAACGTGAAACTTTTGGAAATAAAGCATACACCACCTAAAGCACAACAAAATGCCTAAGAACGTTGGGATCACGGAAAGGAAAAAGGAAAAAAGAAAGGAAAGGAGCTGCCTAACTGCACTGACACCAACACATACCAAATGAAGTGTTTAGAGCCTCACCACTGTCCCTCACCTACTGAATCATATCAGATTCTGTGAGGGAAATCATTGTGGTCATGAAGACAATTTAAAGGCTTATGTACATAAATTCAATTTTAAACCTAAACCCTTTGCACTTTGAACTAGACTGCAACTCCGTACCAGTAGGCTGTTCCAGTACAAGGGTCTGTAAAGAATTCAGGAGTAGACTCAATCCCTGCCTGTACTACGTAACCCCTCCCCGGCCACAGTACCCATTTAAATCAACTAACTGTCTTGCTTCTATGAATATTGATGAACAGAAATAAAACTTGTAGCTATGATATTATGAAAAATCCTTTGCTAGGATTTCTCCTCTCCTGAGAAGCTGAGGAAAAACTAATCTGAAATTAGGTGGGCAAGGAAAAAAACCTATAGCAAACTTGTGTTGATTTCTGAAGCAGAAAGCAATATATTGGTCTTGTTAGATGATAATATAATGTTAGCTTACTGTGGTGTACATATACACGATGTTTGCACCCAAACTTTGTAACTCTTACTTGGCTACAGTCCAGACACTTCTGGATGTCTGTTGGCAGAATCCCAAACTCAGGTAAGACTAGTGTCTCCTGATATACAAATGAGTATGTGAAAGCTCAACTGACTTCTGTAATGTAGATAGTAGCCACCATAATACAAACATCTAAACATTTTTCTATTACTTATTCATCCTCATGGAATACCTGGGTGGTATTATCCAGTTTAAACGCAGAAGAGCAAAGAAAACTAAGTCTCTCTGCATAAAAATTTTGAAGGTTCAAAATATATCAAAAAAATGTGACTTAAACCAAACAAGGTCAAGTGCTGTTGCCAAAAATCGATATATTTTATTTAATAGTGAAAGAGGCAAAGAGAAAGAAAGAGAAAATAAAGAAATCGAAAAAGAAGCGTGCACGGGGGTTGGGGGAACCGGGGAAGATTGACAAGGGTTAGGTGGAAGCGTATCACACATCTGTGGGTCCCAGTGACTTCTCGATGCTCCCTTTGCTCTGGTCTTCCTGGCAGTGAGAGTCCCCAGTCACCGCCACGCCACACCGAAGAGTAGAGAATCCCATGGATTAATATGGCTTTGGGCCAGGTGGGAACACCCACGTCCCTCCCTTGCGGGGGGCCAGTTTGACACTGTCCCTTGCAAGACTCTGGATTTGTTGCCTGGTGCTGCAGCGCTCCGGTGCAGGCTCTGGGGGCCCTTTTGGGGCTCTTTGTTGGGCCGTGACACCCCTTCTGCTGTCCTTCACGGGGATGCGGCTTTTTCCCCGGGTGAAGGGGTCCCTCAGCTGGGCGGTCACTGAGCCTCTGACCAGAGGATTTTCCAGCACACACACAAAGCCTTTTTCTTTTTCCTCCCACCCTTTGGTGCCAGGGTCTGTGCGAAGCCTGGCAGCTGATAGCCCTGGGGCTGTGATCTCCACCCTGAAGGTGTTAAGCTTGTGCTTTGTGAACGTCCCCAGCCCTGAGCTGTTGCTTTGTCCTATCTTCATCAGCGAGCTGTGTAAAGCCTCGGTCTCCGCAGCTTTTGTAGTACAGTTCTGCTACAATAAGCAAAGGTCTTTCATGAAAATGTTTAAGTCATAAACTATAATATTTCAGTCTCTGATACTGTGTTAAGAGTCTGGCTGTATTATCTCCAATTTCAATGGAAAATTATTGGCAGCTGTATAATGAAAAGTGGTCACATGGTTTGTGACTATCAAAATCTAATAATTATGTTATGGTGAAATAACCAGGAAAACATGGAAGGAAACAAACAAGACCAATTAAAATCAACCATTTGAATTAATTTTTAAGTTAACTGAAAGTAATTAAATCAAGGAAGTGGCTAAACAAAAAAATAATAATTGTATATATGGGCAATGGTCATATATCACCACACTAAGCTTTCTGACTTTTCTAACATCATAACCCAATAGAGAATGACTGGTATTCAAATCTGAAAACTTAAGAAAAGGTATTTGTTCTCCCAGTTGTTATGCAACAAGTTATGATCTCCTGATACTTTATAAAACAGAAACCAGTGGTAAATTGCTGGTAGCTTTTGGCAAAGGGTCTGTGTCCTTTACTGCTACTAGAGTCACATGACTGTACAAATGAGAGATTAAAATAGTCATATTAACCCACATAGTAAAAACTTTAAAAATAGAGCATCTCCTGTAAATGGTCACAAGGAAGTGCACCAGGGAGATTACTTTACAGTCCACTTGCCTTCTATAGGATTTCTTTTATTTTCCTTGAATAGATGAGGTACTAGATAACATGCCTGATTCCAGTCCACCTACAGGCAAGGTGAGTCTAGAGAGAATTAGTACAGACCAAATACTCTCTAATGAGAATTATATAGATGTGAAAGGAACCATTGCTTTGCTCCATCTTCTTTTTTTAATAATTACATCCTGATTCTTTTGCACTCTGGTTTGCAGGTTCAAACATCTCATTTCGTGTGTTACATGTTTGTCCCTCCCAGAGGGCTTTGATGCAGTGTGTTTTTTAACATGTAAGAATATACAAAAATGGTTTTCCGTAACATTTTCTCACCTGTTGCTCCTTTCTTTCTGTTCTGTCCTAAAGCAGATTGAGGCCAACTTCATTATCTGTACTGTGGGTGCTGTCCCTTCTCATTACATACCGTGGAATTTGTGTGTGACCTTGAGGAGACTAGACATATATATTCTGTTTATTCCCAAACTGCATACTAATGTAGAGCCATGAATGCACACAAAGCAATGAAGGGGAGAAACAAAAGGTTGCAAAGAGATTTAGACAAACTGGAAGTATTGTCTATAGACATTATGCATCTTATTCTCTTTGTTCAGAAATTGGTCATGATCACATAACTTGAATTATAAAATAATTTTCAATTATCAATTTGAATAAAAGTTTAAATCAACCTGGTTTTATTAAAATTTAGTTACTTGTTTCTAGAAAGCACTTATAACTAAATCACTGAAGCAGTTAATCTACTGAGGAGTGGCTGTATTTTATATAGAATGAAAGACAGTAAATAAGTAAATCTCCAATGACACAAAGCCTCTGTTTTCTATGCTGTCCTCACCTGCCAAAATGTAATGGCTTAAGGTATCTCTTCTCCATCTTGGCTTCTGATGAAAATCTGAAGTACAAACTGAACATAGGAATGAAACTGGATCAGAACAGAGGCCTAGCCAGTGAGCTTTCCTTTGACAGAGATGAGTAGTAAAAGGCTAAGGAAGAGTTTCAAACAGGGTATTGCAGTATTTCCAGAGTAAGGAATCCCTGAAGCTTCTAACAGCTCAAAACCAGCAAACTTGAGCAGGCCCTGTTACAGTACCTGCAGTTTTGACAACCTCTGGCATGCTTCCTTTCATGAATTTGGCTTATTTGACTCCTTGAACACATACTGACTTTTTAATCTCCACTATATTGTGCCAGTCAGATTCAGATGTTAGGTAGATATTGCATGACAAAGAACCTCACAAAAAGTACCACAAAAAATATTTGTATTTAAAAGATACAACTGTAAAAGCCAAACTCTCGCAGGACTTATCTGAGTGGAATTTTAACTAAGCTTTGGCATTTGTTTGGGAAACATTTTCATGATGTCAAAATTAAGAATCTCCTCTCATCTGGTCCACTGTGTAGAAATGCTTGTGATACAAAGTCTAGAATTAGGGAAACACTGTGTTTTTACCTAGGCAGCTCTGCAGACCAATTTATGCACTCTGACGAAATGTAAAGCAGTGATTGCTTAGTGACCCACTCAATTTACATAATTTAATAGAAATTATATAAATGATCGCAGAATAGGGTAGCTCATGTTGAATGTTAGACACAACTGCTCGTAACTCAGTCATTATGACATAGTGTGAATTCACTAATGGTAGACGATTTCTAATAGCTGTCAGCACATAGTAGCTACAGTTACCTGAAATTCTGTTTTAAACACGCCATTTCACAAGAGCATTGCCCCGGCCCCGCCCTTTCGGCCGCGCAGGCGCAGTGGCTCCGCGGGGTGTCCCGCTTGGTGTGCGGCCATGGGCGGGTCTCGCGTGGTGCTGCCCCTGCTCCTGTCCCTGCCCCTGCCCCTGCTCCTGTCCCTGTCCCTGACTTGAGCAGGCCCTGTTACAGTACCTGCAGTTTTGACAACCTCTGGCATGCTTCCTTTCATGAATTTGGCTTATTTGACTCCTTGAACACATACTGACTTTTTAATCTCCACTATATTGTGCCAGTCAGATTCAGATGTTAGGTAGATATTGCATAACAAAGAACCTCACAAAAAGTACCACAAAAAATATTTGTATTTAAAAGATACAACTGTAAAAGCCAAACTCTCGCAGGACTTATCTGAGTGGAATTTTAACTAAGCTTTGGCATTTGTTTGGGAAACATTTTCATGATGTCAAAATTAAGAATCTCCTCTCATCTGGTCCACTGTGTAGAAATGCTTGTGATACAAAGTCTAGAATTAGGGAAACACTGTGTTTTTACCTAGGCAGCTCTGCAGACCAATTTATGCACTCTGACGAAATGTAAAGCAGTGATTGCTTAGTGACCCACTCAATTTACATAATTTAATAGAAATTATATAAATGATCGCAGAATAGGGTAGCTCATGTTGAATGTTAGACACAACTGCTCGTAACTCAGTCATTATGACATAGTGTGAATTCACTAATGGTAGACGATTTCTAATAGCTGTCAACACACAGTAGCTACAGTTACCTGAAATTCTCTTTTAAACACGCCATTTCACAAGAGTGTTGCCCCGGCCCCGCCCCTTTCGGCCGCGCAGGCGCAGTGGCTCCGCGGGGTGTCCTGCTTGGTGTGCGGCCATGGGCGGGTCTCGCGTGGTGCTGCCCCTGCCCCTGCTCCTGTCCCTGTCCCTGCTCCTGCTGTCGCTGCCCGCCCTCAGCCCTGCGGGCGCTTGGCAGCGCTCCGGCGGCAGCAGGTGGGTAGGGGATGGGCTTCTGCCGCTGCAGGCGCCGGAGCGGGCCGAGGCGGGCCCGGAGACCGGGCCCTGGCCGGGCTCCCGGCGGGAGCTGTGGCTTGGCCGCCTGTGCTTCGCGGTGATGTTGCCGCGGTCCCGGGCCCAGGGACGTCTTAGTGCTGGGCCGGGGACTGGGAAAGGCTTCCCGGGGCCGACAGCACAGTGGCCGAGATGAAGCGAGGCTTGGTTACTCCGTGATGAGGCGTCTGGCGAGGGGAGCTGGGAAGACTGGGTTTAAGTAAAGGGAGCTTTGGAGTGCTATGAGGAGACGGTCAAACAAGTACAGACCTCGAGACGCTGTCAGTTTCAGCTATTAGAGAGTAAAATCTCTCTTTGTAGATTGGCCTTGTGATGAGGACCGAGAGGAGCTGTAATATATGGGCACTGATTTTGTTTTTAATCACTTTTTTTTCCCCCAGGAAATGTCAGAGTGATTTTTAATTACACTAACCGGGTGTCCACAAAGTTACTACAATGACAAGAGAGGCTTTCTGTAATTGATTATCTGTGTATCTATTCTGTAATTGATTATCTATACAGACTGTACAACAGCTCATGTAAACTGATGAAAAGTTTATTTTCATAAAACTGTGTTGCATTTTTGGCATTATGTAATGTAAAATATGACATTATGCAAGTATGGTCCATTTTATAGTTCGCTGGGTGGGGGGGGCTTGTCTTTACAGGTCTGTGAGTCGAGTGTGTGTGGAAGAGTCACTGATTTTCAGAAGTAATACCCCTTATTCTACAGACATAATTTCTGATCATGGTGGACGAGATCCACTGTTCTGTGTGCAGTTGGATGACAGTAAGTAATCTTTCTTTTCACATATTTTGTTCAGAGATCACCTCTGCTTAGGGAATATTTTTTTTAACTGCACCTTGTAATTGTTGCTAATTTTTTTGACTGTTACAGTTTCGGAGAGACCATAATGAATCTGGGTCTGATCACCAAAGGCAAAGGAAAAGATTATTACACTATTATTAAGGGTAGGGTTTCTGCCTGAGCATTTAAATAAGTCTTTATCAATTGCTTATGTATCTGAGATTCCTTACATAGTTGTTTACACATAGACCAGCAGATGAGGGTTGACGTTTAAAGAATACCACTACTATAATTTTCAGAAAGTGTTTTCTTACTGTGTTTTGGATTCTTTATTATATATGCTTATTTTCATCCTTTCTTCTCTGCTGGTGGTGATTTCCCAGGGAAAACTGGTAATCATATATCCTGTAGGATATGCCATTAACATTATTTTCTCTTTTTGCTTTCCACATTGTGTCTCACAGTGTCTCACATTTGAACACTTACCATTTTCTGTTTTGAGTTATTTGTCTGGGAGTTGTGACCCACAATTCCATCTGCTTCTGACCTAAATTTTTGAGTGTTTTAGGTTGGGAGGGGCTCAGGAGATTAATAGGTACAACAGCTAGTCAAAACAAGGTTAGCTTTTTATTATCTTGTCTTGCTTTCAGCTCTTTATAGATTTTGTCTGAGTGTTTTGGATACAGGGAAGAACCAAGAAATTATAAGAGCTTCATAATATATAGTATGATAGGTAGTAGCACTAGAACTTTATCCATTCCAATTTTCAGTAGGTCTCACAGTAAAGATGAATTTAGATAAGGGTTTAACCACAGCTTAAAAGTACTGTCAGGGTCCTGGGCTTTTCAGCCTGTAACTTGGAATCTAAATTTTACCCTTTTCCCACACCACTTATAATATCCTAATAGTTAGATTAAAAAGATTCTGAATTTTTAATGTTATGCACAGAAGAGAACATCGTTGTCCAGTTTGATGGCACCAGATTTTTTTAGTCATTTGATATTTGGGCCCTGTATCTATCACATGATGAGGCCCACTGAAGAGGCCTAAACATTTGACTGCATGTGTATGTTAGTTGTAGCACCTTAGGAACAGAATTCACTGTTCACATGGCCTTTTCTGTGCTTGTTGGAAGAACATATGGGGAAGACTTTTTTTTGGGATCTCCTGAAGGATCATAACGTTTTCTTGTAGAAACAGCCTTCTCCCTGGTGGCCTTTCCCATGAAATACAGAAACTCATATATTTTATTTAACTGATTGTGGCAGCAGCTTTTCCAGGATGGTGTGATGAGCTACCATTGCCAGAGACATAATCAAGCCCTAATTAATTATTGTGGCCTGTGAAAGTCATGCACAGGTTGACTTCACCTTGTTGAAACCATTACTAGCAGATTAAATTTTATTTTGCCTTTTCCTATGAGATTAAATACCCTTTAGTATCTAAACTTAAGCAGTTTGAATATTTTAAGTTTTGTTGCAGAAAGCATTTCCTTCCAGTTTTCAGGTATATTTTGCATTATGTAATCTTGTTAACCTGTGGTAGCAAGTATTCAGCTTTGATAATGGAAGAGTATGTCATGAACTGGATCCCAAATCAATTAAATGGCTGTGAGTAGTGCAACTGCAAATGTTTTCTTTTTCAGACTAATGAGGGTACCCTAAGTGACTATTAAGCAAGTTGCTGTGCGCTCTTATTTTCCTGAACCTTGTAGGAGCTTAATATTTCCTTGACTTTTATCTTCTTGAAAGATTCGACTGCTTAATTAATACTGTATTTGGATATTAAAAAGCTTTTGTTTCTGCTAGCTGTGCTGTAACTTTGAGCATCTGCTCTGCCCTTGAAAAGCAGAATTGCATTGAGAGCTTAAGGTTCTTTTTTTGCTGTTATTTTTTTCCCCCAAACTCTATGGGATTATGTAAATTCTTTTTGGTACTACTGTCATTGAGAATACTGCCACTTCTTCTTGTCAGTAGAATATGTAATCCTTGAATCTTCTAAGATGCTTTATTTGAATGCATTGAAAAGTTATTCATATTAGGATGAGTATGTTGTATGCCTTTAATAATTTACCATTTTATAACAGTGCTTTAGCAGTAACAAATTAATACATTATAGCATTATAACCATACTATTGAATACCACCAGGTCAGGAAGGTATCACTGTCGGATACCAATAGAAAGTGTGGGTTTTTTTAGGATGCTTATTGTCTGTTCATACTTATCTTGGGTTTTACCAGTTACCAGTTTTACTTAATTATTTTGAATCCATTTAAGGTTACTCACAAATGGGTAATTAAATTTGTAATTCAGATTTCATGTGTATCTAATATGGGCATCTCATGGAAATTACAGCACATGTTAATATTGCTGTTAAGGAGTCTCATGCTTTTTGGAAAATCACTTTGTGTATTAATATTTGTTTCCCATGAACTGTACTCATGATATCATCCTGTTCTGTAGATCATATTAGCCTATTATAAGTGTTACTATGGATTAATTAATATAAGGCACCAACTAGCTTACAATTACTAAAGTTATTCCTCTTAAAAATATTGGCACAGTATTTACTCTTTTTTTTTCTAGTAACTTAATATTGGAGGATTTCTTTTTTTTTTTCTCTTTTCAAACTCTAGCAGAGCTGAACTATTTTCAACAGCCACAGGATATCAAAGAATCTGATTTTGTGGAGTCCTTGGAGAAGTATGGCAGGCACTCTTTCTTAGCACCATCACAAATTCAGCCATCGTTCTCTGCTTTTTATCGTGTGAGTTGAAAGAAAATAACAATCAATTTGCACATATGCTGTTATTAAACCTCTCTGTAATGATGTCTAATGAGAACAGATTGAAAGATTCTTATTTTGTACCTAGAAACCATAGTATCGTAGGATCATAGCATATCCTGAGTTGAATGGGACAAGGATCATTGAGTCCAGCTGCTGGCCCTGCACAGGATGCCCCAGCAATCCCACCCTGTGCCTGAGAGTGTTGTCCAAATGCTTCTTGGGCTCTGTCAGCCTTGGGACTGTGACCATTCCCTCAGGAGCCTGTTCAGGGCTCAACCAGCCTCTGGGGAAGAACCTTATCCTGATATCCAGCCTGAGCCTCCCCTGACACACTTCCAGCAGTTTCTTTGAGTCCTGTCCCTTGTCACAGAGAGCAGAGGTCAGTGTCTGCCCCTTGGGAGGAAGCTGCAGAGTGCAATGAGATCTCCCCTCAGTCTCCTCCAGGTTCAACAAGCCAAGTGACTTTAGCCATTCCTTGTATGGCTTCCCCTGGAGACCCTTCACCATCTTTGTAGCCCTCTTTTGGATGCTCTCCAACAGCTTTATGGCTTATATTTTGGCACCCAAAAGTGCCGTCAGGACTCAAGGTGAGGCCATACCCACATGCAGAGCAGAGTGGTAGCAGCTGGTGATGCTGAGCCAGATGCACCCCAGGACACAGGTGGCCCTCCTGGTTACCAGAGCTTATTGTTGAACTGTTTATCTCTCAGTACTTTCCATTCCTTAGTGTATAAATTATTTCTGGTCAGTTGCCTGGTATTTAAGAGGTTGGACAACCTTTTAGACAAAACTGGATGTACACAAAGAAGTATAGATACGTCTCTTGCCCTTGGCATTAGTATTCCACTGTAACTTTGTGATTTCTCCAAATTTTCTTTTCAGGCTGGTGATCCAATCCTCATCTACTATGATTCGTCATCTGTATTGAGCATGCTTAGACAGCCAATAAAAATGGGAGCCAGTGGACTTTGTGTTGATGGAAATCCTGCTGGTTAGTAAAGGCAGAAGAATATCTTTGAGTGGTTTGCTTCTGTTTTATCTGTTGTCATGTCTTAACTCACCCAGGCTTCCTGGACACTAAAACCACAAGTTGTACTCGGATTTTTGCCAACTTGAGCAAGAGCTGCATGACTGACCCTGTCCTAGATGCTGCTTCCTACTACCATGACTTCACTGTGCTAAAGGTGCATTTCAGATTTCTTGCTTTTGTTCAAAATCTTAGTTGTTTGACTTTCCATTGCCTTCCACTGGGACTTCAGATAACTGTAAAACTGAAGGTCATCTGGTATGTCATTCCTGATCTCCCAGTTGCTGAGGCCTTCTTGCTGGGAAACTGTAGTAGCTGCTCTCTGACCACAGGGAGCAGCAGGCACAACTTTCCCAGGCATTGTCCTAGGGAAAGCTGTGAGAAGATCAGAGAAAAGAATGATAAACAATTCTTACCTTCACTTGCTGCACCTGTTGTTGTAAACATGCAGAATGTGTTATGGAGATTTGATTACCAAAGGGTGATTTCTTAATTGGCCAATGGTGATAGTGTTTAGATTCAAGAATGTATTGGACTGTTGATAAGGGCAATGAGTTACTTAATAAGTATAGTATAATAAAATAATTGATCAGCCTTCTAGAATCATAGAGTCAATACTAATTATCACCATGTCGGGGACACCATGCTATGACAGGAAACATGTTAAAAAATGTCATGACTAGTGGTCAATTCAATTCAAACTACTCTCCAATAAATTTCTGTCATTAGCAGATTCTTAGTGTATTTAACAGGTACTTCATTGATACTTCATAGTTCTAATGGCCTATCTAAAATTCTCTTGCATTTTAAACAGGTTGTTTATTAAAGTATTCCTGTCTGTTCCATCAGCTTGATCAACCAAGCAGTACATGTTCTCAGTAAAGAATTAGGGTGTTTTTTTTACATAAAGTGCTATCTCTAAAATCATACTGATGGCCCCTTATTAATATTAGCTCTATTTATATCCATATCAATTTCTCTACTATTTATCCTGACAATAAATTCAAAGTAACCAGTTTACTGTTCTGGGTTCATCCCTCTGGTTTTACTGAATGCTTATATGAAAATGTCTCCTCTCACCTTGTAGAGTTTTTCTGCTTTTCTAAGAGGAAACAACATTATAAATAGGAGTACTTATTAAGGGTGAAGACTCAGTATACCCTTATACTGGAAATCTAAATCTACTTAACTAGTAGAGAATAGTCTAGAATCTGTCTATTGATCAGATTTAATTCATGTTTTCAGGGCTTTCTTGTCACTGTTGCAAAAGTACAGTTTTCCTTAACTGGATGCTGAAGTACTTACTTGATTGCAGAAGATGGAGTTTCAGGAATGGATCAGAGATGTGACACTTAAAAGTACCTGCATTCTGCAGGACATTAACTAGGCCAAGCTTAAATTTGTCTTTTGGTATTTTAAAATACCTTCTGTGAACTGTGTCTGTGATTTATAGATTACAAAATTATGACTTTTCACATTGGGAATAAGCAAAGTATTTTTGTCAATATAATATTCAGGTTATTTTGTAATTACTTTATGGCTTTAGTCACAAACACAGCAATTTACTTCACTTTTTATTGGTTTTGTAAAATGGTTTGCTTATTTTCCCCAGGTCCCAATTAATGACACCGTTATGCCATCCATGAAGGTCAGTCTCTGTTGCCAATGAAAAGAATTTCTGGTTCTGAAGGGAAAACAGGAATGTGCTGTGTCTAAGACAAGATTTTTCTTGACAAAAGCAGGACATTATAGAAACAAAGGACATAAATAAGGGTGTATTTTTCAATGAAAGGGCATACATAGGACTAAAGTCAGGGAGGTAGCTTGTTTTCCTGGAAAAAGATTGGGGATCTGGAGCAGTGTGATGTGCCCCCCAGCTCACAGCAAGGAGGTAAATCTGACTTGGATGGAAAAGCAGTGAAAAAGAGTAAAAAGTGCACTCTTCTTATAAACAGTTACTAATTGTTAATATGCTTACTGTCTCCAGGTAAATGTCACTGCAGTCTCACCACCTGGAGCTCCCCACATGAAAGACAATACATGCACCAATGTTGTTTCTGAGGTATGTGAATCTTCTTTCCTTTTCGAGCAGCTTACCACAGGCTTAAACCCATTGCCCTATTACCTTACTCTGTCCCCTGTTATTCTCTGAATTGGACTTTCAGGTGATCTATGAGATAGAATATAGTGGCACAAGTGGGATTCAGAGTGTTTCTGTCCAGTTCAAAGTCAGCAACATCTCTGAGAGCTCCGGATCCTCTCTGCAGCAGCGCTTCACCATGCACTTCTGGGTTAGTATTCCTATTGTCCCTGGAATTTTACCACATTTGTAGTCTGTAGCTTGTGATTCATTTTTGTACGGAAGACACCTGAAGACGTTAGAGCAGTTTCACTGTGGTGTAGTAGTAACAGAACCCTGGGGTGCAGATGATTGAAGAGGAGAGGCATTTCTGGTCTCAAATAAAGCATGCTAGTAGAAAAATGCAGGCTCAGCACAAGCATGCAGTCTTTCATTGCACAAATTTCAAGGAGCTGATTATTTTTATATGACTATTTTTACTCTTGGTTCGGTGGTTTGGTTTTAGGTGTTTTTAGTTTGTTTGGGGGGTTTTGGTGTTTTTTTTTGAGGGTAGGATTTTGGGTTGTTTTTGTTTGGTTTGGTTTTGGGCTGTTTTGTTTGGGGGTTTTTTTGTTTGTTTCTTTTGGGGAGGGTTTGTTTTTTGGTTTGTTTTGCTGGGGGATTCGGGTTTGTTTTTCTGGGGGGCGTTGTTTTTTGTTTTTATTTGTTTGTTTGTTGAGGTAGAAGGGAAGATGATTAGTCAGCAGCATTGCCTTGTGAAGGAAAGGGTTGAAGCTAGGCTGTGTCTGACGTGCTTAGTGTTTGTGAAAGAAGTTACTAAGTTTATTCCAGGTACTTAACTTTGCCTGTGCAGCAGGAAAGAAAGTTACTTTGAAGGGGGTAGATATCTGGGAAATACTAATGTGTGTTAAGTTCACATAAATCGTGTCCCATGGAGGCAATGTAAAATTGGATAAGTGATGACCTCAGGGTTTGGTAAGCATGCAATGCAAATTTGTTGAAGTTATGGTCAGAGTGACATACAACCATTTAGAAGTAGAATGGTCCACTAAAAATCAGGGTCAAGGCAGGGTTTGTTCTGCAGTTCTTCTGTAGAATCACCCTGACTATCTGTTCACTTCCTAAGAGACAAATGTTGAGTGATAGCAATTCATTGTATTGAGAGCTTTCCTGGTATTATCCACATTTCAGGATACTGACATTTAGTTTTTTACCACCTGGACTGCAAATAAAATTAGCCAGGTAAGAAAGAGTCCTTGGAAACAAAATAGATTAAGTAGTATATCATAATCTGTCATTCAAAAAACAGCTTACATTTACATTTTTGAGAATGCAAATTTGATCTTTTGAGATGAATGGATGTCATTGGTGCTAATATTTTCCTCTTTTTCTATTTCTTCCCTTTGTATCTTTGTAGACCAGGACTCTTTCTCATATGTTGCCTAGAAGTGGAAACCCTGGCTATAATACTGGAGCACCACTGGTGATTGCAAACAGTGGTGCCATGCAACATGTATCCTTTTTCTGCTGTGAGTTGTTGTTTATCACTGGGGCTTTTTTTGATTTCTGTTACTGCACTGTGTGAACTTTTATGGTGCCCTAATAGGGATAAGGAGGAATATGGGGTGAGTGGATTGTTAAATACAAGATGAGTGTTGTATGTTGTCTTGTTTATACCTTTGTTTGGCTTCTTGATGTGCAGTCTGTCAGATGAGCATATTAAGGAGTGAAAGTGATGGAAGTTGTTCACAATTTCTCAGGCACACAGTACAGTTTGGAAGGAATATGAGAACAGGCTGCAAAATCAGGTAACAACACACTCTGCAGTCATCCTTTCTAGCAGTTGGAAGTTGTGGACTCAACATGTTTTTCTGTAATCTCTCATGTGCTGCTGTGGAGCCTAGGTCCTTCCCTGAGTTCTCCAATGTGTCTCTACCGATCTTTCTCATACTCCTAAGAGAATGTATAGGAAAGATGGTGGACTGCTGGAATAATCTGAACATTGTGAAGGTCTTCTGGGACATTTTGAGGCTCTAGTCTGGCAGTATGTCTTGGGCAAGAGTAGAGTTGACAGGGCAAGTGTAGGACCACTGATGCAATAAGATGACTGAAGAGCTGTCAGTTTTCCTCATCATTATCCCTGCCATATTCTTCTCCTTTCTCATTGCTGAGAGGATTGAAACTGCATCTGTTTAATACCAACACTTGTTGACCCATTTTAAGAGCAGAAGAAATACTTATTGCAAAGAAAGGATGTTGATAGTGTGATAGTGGTTTGGGCGCTTTTTTTTTTTTTTTTTCATGGAAATCACTTCCTTAAAGGTGTTCTTTACTCATTTCCAGCCTATCCCCAACACTGGAAGACAGTAACTGTAGCTACATACAGCAGAAGTTATACAAGGCTTTTCAGGGGATGAACAGAACAGAAGCCTTTGCTATAACTGGCAGTGCTCATTCAACCCAGGCAGAAGAGTGGATGACCATTCTGATTCAGAACTGCAGTGTGCAGGTAATATGAATGCAAAAAACCACCTGTAAATATTTTTCCTTTCACATCTTTGTATTGCCTTGGGGAGGTGGGGGTATCTGGACTTCTTTTCTATAATGATCCTATGACTCTCAGGGGTCTTATTATGTGAAAGCAGTCAGTATGGTTCATATTATTAGAGTATTAACAAAAAAAACCCTCAAACTCAACAAACCTTCACAGAGTTCCTATCTCTTGAATCCTGTTCCTGCTATTTAAATGGGCAAAAAGTTAAATACTGAATCCAGTGTTATATTATATAGTTTTCTGATGGCCTTTTAGAACTGATAATAGCTGGCTACTTCCTACTAATTATTATTATAATCCTTTCTGCTTTTCCAGAAGAGGGAATATTTTTATAGGATATTTATATCCTATTATATTACCTAATAAGGTTGTGAGCCAATTGTATTGTAATAATTGTTAATCTGTGGGGGTATGGCTAAGTGGAATGTGAAATCCAAGACGTAAAGCTGAGACAAATTCTAATTGGAACTGAGATGACAATGAGATGTATGTAGCTCCAGAATGGGTGGTTGACATGATCAGACGTTACAGAGGTAGTACTGAAGTGATTGATTCAGTTTCTGAATCAATCACTTCAAAGGACCATTATGGCCAAAGTGTAATATTTTGGATAATACAGTGATCTGTATTATCCAAAATATTACACTTTGGCCATAATGGTTCTTTATCACTTTTAAAACACTATATTAAACTGATTAGTGTATATTTTATTTTCAGGCTGTGAATTGCACTTCCTGTTGTATGGTTCCTGTGACCCTGGAGATACAGATATTGTGGACTAAAGTGGGCCTCCTATCCAACCCACAAGCTCAAGTACTGGGTACACGGCACTTTTACCAATGTCAGCCCCTCAAGGTATGGAATCAAAAACCCTCCCTCACACACAGAGGTAATTAAAGGGGGTTTACAGGTTATTTAAGAACCAAAGAATCAAATTATCTTGAAACTAAGTTGAGATTTATTGAATTTTAGCAGTTGTCTGGCTGCAGTGGTAGCCTTTATAGAGCAAGGATATTTTGTGGTCTTTTCAGTACTGTCCTCACTCATTCGTACAGCTGGAAAAGATACTTTCTTTCCACCTCTGAACCACTTTCTGCCACTTAAGGACTCAATCTTTAAACTTTCAGTTATGGTTTAAAGTTGTAGTATGGTATAAAGTTGTAGTTACAAACATCCAGTAACTCCATGTTTTATATTTAGTTGTCTCTTAAAGCCTTGATATGGGATTTGAGTTTAGTAATATTTCACAGACTCCACAGAATGCTGATAATCTGTGCAAGGAGATATTTCTGTTCCTCTAGAGCTTCTGAAATAACCAATAGGTAGCTGAGGAAGTGGCTGATGCTGATGGCAGCATATTTGGAGAACTGGGGAGGAAGGCTGCAAGCCAGAATGAGGGTATTCAAGGCCAGGTGGTCGGAGTTCTGAACTACCTGATCTAGTTGAAGGCATCCTTGTTCATCATAGAAGGCTTGAACTAAATGACCTTTAAAGGTCCCTTCCAGCCCAGACCATTCTGTGATTTTGTGATGTCAGCAGGAATGTGTCAGCTAACATGACCACAGAAGACAATGAGCAGTCTTTTTCAAGCATGTGTCAGTGGATCTCATTGTGATTTTTTTTTTTTTTTTGATATCACATAGTCTTTTGGGCAGCAGAAATATTTCAAGGCTTACCCTTCTCTGTAAGGGCTTTAGGGAAAGCAGCTGACACCCGCCTGGGCATCTTCATGACTGTGAGGAAGGTATCTGTCTGATCTGTTAACACTCTTTGAAATTAAGACTCAGTCTAAATGAGATTTTACACACTTGTCTGAATGCATGTCGTGGTACCCTTTTGTTCTCCCTTCTTGCAAAATACATGAAGAAGACAGGAAGATGTTAACCATGTAAAACTCATATTGCCCTAAGGCAAAGTGATACCTCCACCCCATGAAGATATTTTTTAAATCATCTATTTCATGGCTTCCTTAATAAAACTTGTGTCTGAGGAAGAAGACTTGGATTCCTAGTAAAAGTGTAGGGTGCAAATCCCTCAGGACTAGCTAATCAATAAGAATGAGATTCAGATTTGATTTGCTTGATCAACTGATGCTAATTACTTTAGACCTTTAAGGTATATTGCAAAGCTAATTATAAGAAAGCAAGTTTCTGGCAGCAAAAAAACCTCATGCCATTAAAATCAGCACTGACTTCATCAGTGACATCACAAATCCACAAATTAGGATTGTTAGTAAAGACATTTTAGGAAAGGACCAACTTGCTCTGTAGCCAGCGGTTATGGAGCGCGACTATTTGTAAGCATACTAGGCTGCACATTACTTTCAAATTATACCACTTCCCAGCTTTAGCCTACAGATTCTCTATCTGAGAACTGTCCTATAGTTCCTTCAATATTCTTTAGAGAAACCTTTTTTTATTTAGACGACACTGTGTCTCTGGAAAGTTGCCTGGGTAACTGACCAGAAAACAGAGAACCCAGGAAAGACATCCCAATTTCCACACCCATCCACAATATCTATCACATTTATATTTGGACTTGATGAAAATACAGGATGTTTTGAAATGATGTAGAGTTCTACAAGAGCATGCTGGAAGTTGCTAATGATTGCCTTCTCCTTCAGCTGTTCAGGAGGGATTGTGTATGGAGTTTTTTTCCTTGCACTAATCTCTCTGATTTTAAGGCAGTTTTTGAAGGTCCAGACACTTAAATCAGTCATCTTGAGGCTTCTTGTTGACTAGGGCAACTTGGCCTGTTTTTGAGTGTGTTTACACTTTGATAGGAGAACTTAAATCTCTCAGAAGTGTTGGGGAAATTCTACTTGTAACTGCTCAGCAGTGGTGAGTTGTGATCAAGGACTGATCTGGCATGGTGGTCAAGAAGGTGTTAAACTGGCTGGAAGCAGGAACATTAGGACACCTTGTAAGTGTGCAAAGTTTCCAGGTGATGAGAGAAGAAATAGCCTCAGCAGTGTCTTGTAGCCATTCTGGAGCAGGAACTGCTCAGGGGCCACCTTTGGGCAGCAGAGCAGGCCTGGGGGATGCACCCACAGCTGGTTGAAGGTCCTCATGCTGATGCTATCAGGAATGGTGCTACAGATGCAAAGGTGCACAAGGAATCTGCTCATGATGCCTCTTTACACACTCCATGTAGAACCAAGACTGGATGCAATGCATTGTTAATTTCTTTTTCTTTAATAAATAAATATTTATTTTTTTTTTAATTTGCTTTGAGGGATGCCACAAAAATTACCCAGCAAGAGTTGCAGCATTTTTTTTTCTTAAGAGTCATGAACTCTATCTTGCAAATTTTTTGAATGCTTCCTACAGAATTTTGCTGTAAAGGCGATCTTAGAAATTCTTCTCAGGGAAGTGATTGAGGTGGTAGTTTCACAGGTTGGCTTAAACCAGTGCAAGCACAGAAGGTGTGCTGCCAGTAAATGCCCTCTCAAATGTTAGCATGCAGAAGTGGGGCAGGGAGTGAGGTTGCTCTTTTGGGAGCAGCATGGTCTTAAATCAGCCCAAGGTAGCCATGAAACTCCATGTAGTTCAAAGAGCTAGTATATTAGTTTTCTTGCAGCATTCCGTTAAAACAGGAAAAAGCTGAGGCCTTAGAGGTTCAGTCCCCTGTGTGATCTTCACTGATCTGTCTCCTTCCTGAAACAACATCCTAAAATGTGAGCAATAAATTTAAATTGTATTGGGTCCCTGCTTTAGTTTATTGACATTTATTGATAGGATTGCATCTTGTGGCAGTTCTTTCTGGTAGCAAGCACTTGTCCAAAGAGCCAGCTGATCTTTTATAAAATATAAAGCTAGCTTGCATCTGTTCTTATTACTAAGTAGTTGGTATGTCTTTCCTCTGAGTAGAAGGCTTACTGTAACAGAGCTTAAGTCACTGCAGCCATTTTGGAGGTCGCTAGCATCAGTGCACAGTAGCTACTGATCTTCACTACACCCTCAAATTTACCTGCTAAGTATCAATTTTGGGAAAGAGGTCTTACTCCTCTGAAAACTTAGGATGCTTAACTCTTACCATCCCAAAGACGTCATGCTTGCCAGTCATCTACAGTGAGTCCCCATTAGAAAATTGAGGAGGGGTATGCCTTTTGTATTAAGACTGCTAAACTCTTTCTGCTTTCCTTCTTGTTGCAGTTTCTAAACATGAGCATGGTGCCTGTGACAACTGTCGTTACCTTCACTGACATGACAGATTGGCCAGAACCTCCACAAGGCCAGCCTCAAATGCACTGGAAACTCCCATTTGACATATTTTTTCCGTTCAAGGTAGCTCTGAATGTAGAAAGAACTTGCAGAGGTGATCTGGCTGGGTATTTATTGTTGATTCTAATAATGTCTAGTATTTTCTGCTTTTGAAGTAGATGGAGCCTGTATTTATAAGTGTGGTGAGTGAATTGATACATTCAGAATATGACCCAGATGATGGACTTTTGTCATCAGGTTTTTATACCATTTCTGTGATATCTGTGTCCCTTCTGGTCTTGGATTAAGCCGTGTGGGCTGCTTGTCCTCTCATGTTCCTGTTCTTTGTATATGAACCATCTGTGAACATCACTGCAGTGACATACTTGAGAAATTTAGAGATCCAGGGACATCCGAGGAAGAGAACATTAAAACTTATCATTCTGTGTCCCCAGAAACCAAGAATGCTCTCTAAACCAGAGAGTATGGAGAGAAGCAAAGTTCAATCAAAGCATTTTGGAGCTGCTTTCCTGTAGGAGAGGCATTTGATTTTTCTATATGGAACTAATTGAACATTTAAAATATAGGAGCTCTCCCAGGGGGCCTGAATTCTTATTTTATGAGTAAACGTGGGCCAGTCACCCCTAACCTGTCCTTTTTAGATGACAACTGCGCCTCTGTGACATTTTTTGAATCTTGATTTTCTGTGTCTTTTCAAATACAGATATTCATTTGAAATTTTCATGGTTTAATCACTTTTTACATTAGCAACACTGTTGCACAGAGCAGAGTAATAGTAAATGCTCTGAAATACAGTTGAATTTTAGTGGTTTGTCAAAACATCTTCCTTCCTGATCTTTTTTTTCCCCCTGGGAGAAATGGGCCTGAATGGAGTTTTTCCTAGATAAGGAACATTCTTTTATTCCAGATAGGAACTGAAAAGAACTACTGAAATTCTAGTAGCACATCAGAGAGACTTGTGAATAGTTCTGAAGCTAAAACATCGACTATTTTAGGAAAATTTGTAGTTGTATTATGAGACTAAAGCTTGCTGCAATACCTTACCTCTGGCTCAATCTCTGGGACCAAGAAATAAATTTATTGGTTTTGAAGTTAAAGGTGGTCTGATTATCTAGACTGCCCTTTGCCATCACACAGGAAATCTGCTTAATTGTTCCAGGAAGCTGTTGGATGAAAGTATATTCTTTTAGCAAAAGATTTTATTATTTATCTTCTTCGGATGATGGAAAAATCTGCTCCATCTCATGTCAAGTGCTCCAATGGAATCAATAAGGGCCAAAAATTTCAGAGCCTAGTTTTAATAAAATGTATTTGTTGCTTTTGTACCTATACTGCACATAGCAGCTCTGTTGCTTCTCCTCATTACAAACTTAAAAAGGAATGCAAAAAATAAACTGAAAAACTAGTAATTAGTGAGGATATCAAAGGAGATAACACAAGTAAAAGAAAACTACAACCCATCTAAAGGCTTCTGAGTTAATGTCACATATTTATCTTTGTCATTATTTGCATGGTTTCTTAGCTGGGAATGAATTCTGTGCAAGTGTCTGCAGCGTCCGTTGATTCGTGTTCTGGGACAGCCCAGCCAAGCTGGTGTGAACATTCGGAACTGTGTGCATTCCAGTATTACACAGGACTGTACCATTACACAGTACAGCAACAGCCTTTGATTTTTAGATACATGTGGCTTCTCAGATGTGCCTGTAGTACCTTTGAAAAGCTTTTCTCGGAACACGTTTGTAGTGTATCCCATGTCCTCCCATGTCCCTAATTTGTGGAATTCAGGAAATTAATTTAGAGGTGACAGTAACTGAATTACAGAGGGTTAGCTGGAGAAACTTCCCAAATGTAACATGTCAATGCTAAATGTGTTGGGATAGGGCTTGAATAAAAAGGATCTGGCATCCTTGTTTTCTGCATTATTGAGGTAATTCACTTAGGTATAACTACAGAGATACTGTTCACTCTATAGGCTGCAAATACATGAAATGCTGTAAGTATGCATCACTTTATACACTGTAATTATCTGTCATAATTATCTAACCTCCAGCATGTCCTATTTTTTAGCTCATGTTTGTCTCCTTTCACATTTTGTCATAGCAAGAAATAAGAGCTGGAAAGAGCCTTGTCCATATTCTGGTCCAGCCTGAATTAAGGCATATTCAAATTCTAGCTGCACGACAGCAGTGCTTGTGGGTTTAGAATCTGCAGTTTCCTATGGCAGTGCATTTTCGTGTCTACTTTATCACGCTGTGTTTTTCCCCTCTGCCTGATCTGAAATAGCCTGTGTTGCAATTCAGTATCAGGCAACGTTATGACACTGTCACAGGCAAGGCAGACTCATATGTCACTTGTACAGGAATGGAGTGTTTGTACTCCATGTCAAAGGGCTGAGACAAAACTCTTTAGTTTCTCTGCTGCCAGCATTCTAGCTAGAGCCATCTTTCCCACATCTCCCTTTTTTGAGGCAGTAACACTGTTTTACACTGTCCGAGTGAAGACGATCTTTACTAGGTAATTTTTAAAGTCCGTTCCAAACATAACCCTCGTTTCTTTAGAAGACATAATTTTAAACTTCAAAGCAGGAGCAATTGTAAAAGCCAGGGGCGGGGCCGGAAGCGACGGGAGGCGGCAGGGACTGAGGCAGCGGAGAGCTGGGCCGAGCCGAGCCGAGCCGTGCCAGGCAGCGCCGAGCCGCGCCGAGCCAATCACAGCGGCCTCGGGCGTGCCCGGGGCGGAGAAGCGGGCTGGGCGTCGGGCGCGGGGTTGCGGCTCGGCTGGACCCGGAGGGAGAGAAGTGAGCTCAGCCTGAGAGCTGCCGGGGGCACCGCACGCCGCCGGTGTCTCGGACCCCGCGGACTCCAGAGCTGCACAGATTCGGGGTCGCTTTTTCTCGGCGGTCTCAGAGCGTTACTGCTGCGGGGAGTTACTGGCAGTGTGAAATTGCACTTTGATCCCCTGCGGGCACCCGACGAACTGATAAGAGCTGCACGGGCCTCATCCATCCGGAGATCAGTGAGAGCAGAGCTGTTGCTCCTCTAGAGGTTTCTTTTTCCTTGCCGGTTTCTGGTGCCTACATGCAAGATTTCTCCATGCCCAAAGGCCACCCCTGTGGGTTGTGTCCCTGCTTCAGGGAGAAGCAGAAAGGAATGATTTGCTCCAGCCCCATCCACTCCTGCTGGCACTTGCCCACAGTGCCAGGTCCCTCTCCACTTCCCAAGTGCCTGTGTTTCTGGAATCCAGTGCCTTTGTGCTCCTCTCCAGCAGGAGGAAGGATCCTCAGGAAGGAGCTGGAGTTGCTGTCCCAGCAGAGTGGGGTACAAGGACCAGAGGAACCCTGTCATGACTCTGGAGAACCCAGGACCCATCTCCACGTGGGCCATGCTGTGCCATCATCCTCTCTTGCCTCTGGCTATTGTCATCCCTGAGAGTCATCAGCCCAAGCGCTTCTTTCTTCAATTGGAACTAATTTCTCCTGGTTTGAGGCTTGGCTGGCGTGAGGCAAGGATGCTGCATGCAACCACCACGTGGCTCTGCCTCAGGGTGCAGAGATCTCTCTTCAAACCTGTGCACAGGGAGGATGTCCACTGCTGTACTTTAGTGCTTCACAATCCACGTGGAAAAAGATGAATGTTTGTTCATCAGGACTTCTTTGTCTTGTTATTAGGAGTAAGTGTCTATTAAAGTATGCAGTTATATTCCTTTTCATTTGGAATTGGACTTTTAATGGTCTAAATATGCAGGCAGCAGCTGGAATTTTAGAGTACCAAGATATTCCCTCTTTCCTGGAGAAACTAAGGCCACAGATACTCCAGGAGATACATTTCATGCTTTAAGAGGACTCTTGCCCAAGGTGTGATTTCATCTGGAGTTCCTTGCACATCTCTGGCCCAGAATATCCCCCCATTAACTCGCTGCCATGATCACATTTGATTTCTTTTTCTCTCCTGTCCCATGTGCTCTGAAACGATGAAATGACAGAAGGGGTGGGGATGGAAGGGACCTTTAAAGATCGTCTAATCCAAGCCCCTGCCATGGTCAGAGACACTTTCCACTAGACCACGTTCCTCAGACCCTCATCCAACCTGACCCTGAACACTACCAGTGATGGGACATCCATAACATCCACGGGCATCTTGTTCCTGGCTTTCACTCGAGCAGAGGGGCAGAATTCTCTCCCTTGACTTGTTGGACATCCCTGTTTAGGCACAGGTACAGAGGGGTGTCAGGGCTGCAAGCACACAATGCCAGCTCATATCCAGTGTTTCCTTCTCAAGGATCTCCCAGTCCTTCTCCACAGGGCTGCTCTCCATTCATCCATTCATCACCCCTGCTGTTTTGCTAAGTTCTGGAATGTGCCTTTCTAAAGAGGAGGCATTTCACACACTGGGAAAAAAAGTTGTAGGTCTACGGAAAGGAGGCTGAGCCAAGTGGTGGCATTGAAATACAGGTGGGGTGGACATTCCTCCTTGATGACAGGAATGGTTTGCAGGTTTGGGGTGCAGAATGTAACATTTGGGGAAGGAGAAAAGGGCACAGAAATTGAGGCTTTCAGCAGCTGCGAGGCGGCAGTATTAGAACACGCAGCACTTGGTGGAAGCCATCTAGCCGTGCCAGGCAGCGCCGAGCCGCGCCGAGCCAATCACAGCGGCCTCGGGCGTGCCCGGAGCGGAGAAGCGGGCTGGGCGTCGGGCGCGGGGTTGCGGCTCGGCTGGACCCGGAGGGAGAGAAGTGAGCTCAGCCTGAGAGCTGCCGGGGGCACCGCACGCCGCCGGTGTCTCGGACCCCGCGGACTCCAGAGCTGCACAGATTCGGGGTCGCTTTTTCTCGGCGGTCTCAGAGCGTTACTGCTGCGGGGAGTTACTGGCAGTGTGAAATTGCACTTTGATCCCCTGCGGGCACCCGACGAACTGATAAGAGCTGCACGGGCCTCATCCATCCGGAGATCAGTGAGAGCAGAGCTGTTGCTCCTCTAGAGGTTTCTTTTTCCTTGCCGGTTTCTGGTGCCTACATGCAAGATTTCTCCATGCCCAAAGAAAGTATTTAAACCCTCCTGACACTTGCATGACAGCTAACAGTCACTCCCTAGGTTTTGACCCGACTTTGTGATAAGCCTGTGTTCTTCACATACTGTTTCTTCACAGTAGACAGAACAGGATCAGATTAGAGGTTTTTTAAAGTAACCTGATAGCTCTCGAAAGAGTAATCAAACTGTAGATAATAGAGATTGAAGCAAAGCTTACATGGTTTACCGGAATTATTTGACAACTGTTTTTATATTATGAAGTCAAGAGTTTTATTTTTTTCAAATGAAAAATAACTCAAATATTTCCATATGCTTATAAAAATTTTCCACATGCTTATGTCTATGGCAATGCTGTACCATAAATTTGATGGATGCTTGGAGTGTTTACCTTCTTCCTATTCCCATATTTGCTCTTGAGAAGAAGTTTATAAAGGGTTAAAATAAACTTTTCTTCTTTTCTGCTGTGTAGTAAACTATTTATGTTTAGTCACTTTGGAAACAATATTACCTGTTCCATATTTGTATCAGTGAATATTTTTTGTAGTGTAAATTGCTTTGCTGATTTTTGTTTTTGCTGTATTTTCTTGCTCTTCTAAGCTACTGTTTTGTCACGATTGTCATAAAAATTGTGTTCAATAGCAAAGTAAGCATCTTTCAGGCTTAGGTTGAGTAATTCTTCAGCTGTTCTTACTGCACATTGTGTTACTAGGAATACAAAAGCAGTGGTGGTCTTATGGTTTTCTGCAGCATCTGAGGAAGAAAACATCTGAGATTCACTGTGCATGATACTCTGAAAAGTGAGTTCAAGATGTAGTGAAAAAAAAAAGTAAATAGAATAGTAGAAATTATCACTTAAGGAATGAAATGCAGAAAAAGAGACCATATTATGCCAGTATATTAATCCTTTCTTTGTCCAGATTTGAGTACTCTGTTCTCTACTCGTGTTCCGGACTCTCCCTTAGCTAGTATGCAGCACTGTGTTTGGGCTAATCAAGGAGGTGGAGGAAGAGCAGTGGAAATCATTACATATATATGAGATAGGCTTGATATGGAAAGCAGGAGCATCCTATGCTGATGTCTTAGTGGCAGTGTAGTCTAAGGAATTGCTGCACTTCTCTCTTTCTGGTGCTAATATTCACTTGTATAGATGGGCGGGTCAATTAGTCTCTGACCAGAATATTACCATGATCAAGCTGCCTTGCTTGGGGACAGGAATTGCAGCTTTGATCAGAAGGGGTGGCAAAACTGGAGCACCTCTGGTGCTAGAATTGTTCAGGGACAACTTGAGCATGACAGCAGATGGAGGAATGAGGTAGGTGCACTGCAAGTCTGTAAAATCATCAGTGGTATGAAGGTTAATAAACCCAGTCTCCACAAAGCTGGAAACTAGGAGAGTATTCAACTAGTTTTGATTGCTTTCTTGTCCTACCCATGTACTTTATCTCAGCATCTGATAGACTGCTGTTCTACCTATGAGTTTTGTTTAATTTTACTTGTTTACCTATGTGATGTCTGGCAGTTGTACAACCTTCATTTGATGGATGTAGGAAAACTGGAACAGAACTGGGATGCTAGTTATATCATCATTATCTTAACAGCTGCTGCAACCTGACGTTTTGCGGCTCACTGCTCAAAACAGGTGGTAGAAGAAAGTAGCAATATTTGATTGAATCAAGAGTAAAGAGATGTTAGGAAGAAGGAAATGCTTGAAAGATTTTACTTAATCCTGTCTTGAGGTTTATTAGTGGTTTAATCATGCTTGATTAAATTAACCTGTCCTTATGTTCCTCACTTAGAAAGTTTGATTAAAGCAGATACTCTGTGTGATTTTTTTTTCCTCTTTTTTGTCTTTTTAATTAGCTGGGGAATAAAATATTTGCATAGAGATGTACTTGTGTTTCTTGCAATTATGTCTGGAATGCAGGTAGGTGGACTGAAGCATGTGTGCCTACACAAATGGTTATTACCATCAACATAGTTCCATGCTTTTTTTTGAAGATGGAGCTCTCTTTAGGAGTACTGAAGGTTCACTACCTTTAACT